ATAAAAAAAAAAAAAAAAAAGCCACAATATAAACAGAAAAGGTGCCTCTTCTGACCAAATTAACCCCTTTTAAGGTTAAAATGAAAAAAAAAAAAGAAAAAGAAAAAAGAAAAACCACACCTATAAAGGAAACTCTTGTGGGTATTTTGATTAGGAATGCATTTTATTAATAGTTTCATTTTAGATAAATCATCTTTGCAGTATTTATGTTTACATGTCTTTTTTACTTTTGTAATACGTCTTTTTGTTTTTTCTTTTTTTGGAGAGGTTTTTGCTATAGGGCATGTATGCTCACTCCCCAGAGGGGTTGGCCACGCCGCAATCCCTTCTCCTCCATTCTCCTCTCAGGATCTTGGGCACACACGCACATGCGCCCGGCATGAGTTTAAGCCACCAGGTCCAGGACTCCAAATCACGGTTGACTACGTTAGAGTCAAGCGACATAGCCATTACGCTAACTGCTGGTCCCTTAATAGGTCTTTTATGTTCATACGAGTATCGTATGTTTATATTTAGGTATTTCGTGTCTTTCAGTTAAGTTCTATAATTTTCTTCATGTACATCTTGCATTGTAGGGTTTATTTGTTGCTATTCCAAATGGGGTCCTGCTTTACCATTACACTTACTTAATTTTTATTGATAATGAATAAGAAATAATGGGTTTTATATGTTAGCTTTTTTATCTAGTCACTTGACTGAACTATTTTATTAATGATGTATATATTCATTCCTTTTTCTTGTCACATTGAGACTAAAACAATGTAAAATTATATTAGTAAATATACATTTTTACTGTATATTTCTGACTTTAATGAGAATGTATCTAATGTTTCATCGCCAAATATGGTAAATACACTTTATTGGCTTGATGAATTTTCTTTTATTCCTAGCTTACACCGAGAGGTGTACTTTTCATTGCAGATTATACCAAATTTCTGTGAGTCATTATTCTTATTTTTTCTTTTGCTAGTGGGCACATGCACTCTTCAGAGAGGGGAGAGATAAAAGTATGCCCCATTGGAGGGTGGCCACACCGCAGCCCCTTCTCCTCCATTTCTCCATCCTGCTCAGATTTGGGGCACCGTGTGTTATATATGCCCCAGTGTCTTTTAAGCTGCAGGGGTCAGTGTTTGAACTAAGTGGTTGGCCATGTGGGATTCTGCTCCCTTAACTGCTAGGCAGGGGGGGTCAGCCCAAAGGACCTTTATTCTTTTTTAAAAAAATTATTTATTATTATGTTTTAAATTGACCCGAGTGAGGATGGGGAGAAAGAGAGAGAAAGTTAGAACGCAAACCTCCAGGTCCAGGACTTGAACCATGGTGGGCCATGTGGCAGTCCAGCTACCTTAACCACCACACCACCTGCCATCTCTAAAGGGCCTTTATTCGTTCACATACATTTCTTAATAATCCAGAGATTGTCTAGAATCGCTTAGACCTCTCAATACTGACATCCTAGTTAAGCCAACCTGGTTTAGAACTCAGTATTTAGGGGCCAGCTGGTGTGGCGGGTAGGTAACTGGATCCCACATGACTGTGCAGTATGAGTCCTGGCCCAGCAGCATGAGAAACGAGCTGGGCACGTGTGTATGTGCCCCAAACCCTGAAAGAATAAATGAAGAGAGGAGGGATTGCCGCATGGTCATCCCCCTGCAGGATGTTTTCTCACTCACCCCGATCCCTTCACTGTCCATCTCTCCCAGGGGAGCACATGTACCCTCTGGCAAATTTGGAGGGGGGAAAAAATTAAAAAACTAAGAACTCAGTAATATCTCCTTTCTTCCTTCTTTTACACACATTTGACCCAGATGTCTCAAGAACAGTCAGTATTTTGTGTTGATATTTCCTTAGCTTCTTTTGCCATTGTCACCCCTCCTTTTACCTTCCAAAAACAAGCCAAAAAAATTATTAAAATAAATAAAAAGCACAGGCCAACAGGTGGTATAGTGGTTAAGATGCTGGACTTCCACATGGTCAACTGCAATTCGAGTCCCAGACTTGGTGGCTTGAAACTCATCCCGGGCGTGTGTTATGTGCATGCCCAAAATCCCAAGGCAGAATGGAGGAAAAGGGATTGTGGTGTGACCAGCCTGCTGGGGGTGTAATTTTTCACTATCTGTTTCTATGTCCTTCTCTGTGTCTCTGACAAGCATATATAACTATAGCAAAAATCTCTCTAAAAAAATAAGTAACTAAAATAAAATTAATTAAAAGTAGCTTGTGGACAAGAACAAGACAACCATTTCTGGGGTTCACCGACAGACACCACTGAAAATATTTTGCTCCTAGTTCCTAATTTAAATAACTCTTTTTTCCGCTTGATTATCTTGAGTAGCTGACCATCGTCTCACGCCCCGGTTGCTATGTGGCTTTGAAAAAAAAAAGGAGGGTGTGACAAAGGAATCACGCCTGACCTCTGACTTCCGGTGGCAGCTTAATGCAGGTTCAGATACAGGATATAGCCCCTCTCATTCTCAGTACTTTCTTGCCTATGGTTGGTACAAATGTAGTTTTCACAGGCGATTACTAAAAATGATTTAATCACAGAGTACATTTGATAATTTTTAGTTGATGAAACATTTTTGCTAAGCTGTGAATGAAGGGATTTTGTTCTATCAGGCAAGTATTTGAACCATGATTTTAATGTGGCCTGGCACCTGTCTAGAGAATTGTCCCTGTGTCTAGTGACACTTTGCTTTAAGGAAGTCAACACCTGCTGTGATGGCATCTGTCATATTTAGGAATGCGAAATGTCCATGACTAATGAAGAACCACCTCCGTAAAATGCCTTCCTCAGAAAACTCTTTTTTTTTTTAATTTTTTTTATTTTTTGGAGAGGTTTCTGCTATAGGGCGTGTGTGCTCGCCAGACAGAGACAGAGAGACAGAAAATGAGAAATCACCCCCCAGGGGGGATGGTCACGCCGCAGTCCCTTCTCCTTCGTTCTCCTCTCGAGATCTTGGGCACGCACGCACATGCGCCCGGCATGAGTTTTAAGCCACCGGGTCCGGGACACGAACCGCGGTCGACTACGTAGGAGTCCAGCGATATAGCCATTACGCTAACTGCTGGTCCAAGAAAACTCTTAATGTAAAACTTTGGTAGAAGATTCTTATAAGCAGGACAGAAAAGAATTTGGGCTCTTTCTAAGAAAAAAGTAGTAGATGGTGTCTTTTACCATGGTTTTCCCCTTCCCTGATGCAAGTTGGGTAGATTTTATTATTATCACATTGTTTAGCCAAGAAAGTCAGAACCTGCGAACGTGAGGACCATTTGTTTTACTAGTTCGTCATAAACCGCCATTAGCCTCCAACATGAATTAGGATGTTTATGCTTTTGCGGTGGGGGTTGAGCAGTGGAGTAGGCTCATTAAAGTCATACGGTGTGTAACTGGGAACCCTCCAGGAAAGCACAGGTGAAGAGAGAAAGGGAAGCCAGAAACTGAGAGGCAAGCATGAAAAGCTGGTCCTTCAGCTCCTTCCTGTTCCAGTGAGGTTAGCTTTAGCTTTCAGGGCTGTTGGTGTAGGCAGTTCCGTCAACTGGACAATTATTTTTCCTACCTCAGCATCTCTTTCTTCCTAAGTCCTGAAGTCCGGAAAGGAGTCAAGGAGTCATGACAAAGAGGAGACTAAATGTTCCCTACCTTTTCTTACACAGGCGGGTGACAAACATTATCACCCCAGCTGTGCACGATGCAGCAGATGCAACCAGATGTTCACAGAAGGAGAGGAAATGTATCTTCAAGGTAAGGGTGGACTCAAGCACACCATAAGTTTTCCTTACTTGGGAAAGAAACCCTTCCTATGTTTGTCGAATTGTTTTTAGAGAAGGAGACATTAGCAACAAGGCAACAAGGCTATCCAAATCCTGCATGAGCATGGCCAAAAGTTACCTCATCAGTTAGTATTCATCGGCCAAGCAATAGACATGCTGGCAGTGAGCCCCCAAGGCTGTTAATGAATAAACTCATGTTACTACTTGGAATGAGGACTTCGATGCCAGGGATGTGAGGAAGAGTGAAAATGAGCAATACCTCCTCTCCAGCTGTGCTCAGGAATATGTCTGGAAACAAAAGATCAAGAGAGAGAAAGCATTTCTAGAAATTTCTAGCCATGTTACTTATTTGATGGCAACTTTGTCTTTTCTTCTTTCGCTATCCTGTGAGAAAGACTTTTTCAGGCCTATCCAGGGTGCTCTTCTCTGGCTTTCCAGAAGAAAATCTTATATTTGATGAATTACATCACAGACTTATTTCATCCCAGTAAGATGACATGGCTCTTATATTTGAAGAGAGAATGAGAAAGAATGAGAGAGAACACACCCAAAATCCCTGAAAGAGAAATTGAGAAGTTTCTGGTGGCCAGGAAGTACTTGCTATTAGGAAGCCATTAGACTTTATGTTTTTCAATCAAAAATAATTTTGAGAAATTTTTCCAGTATAAAATGATGATCAATTTTTGTCTCTTAAAATTCTGAAGCTTCTTGAAAAGACTGTAAGAGAGGATTCTCTTCTAGTCAAATAGCACCATCTGTGCAAGCATTTTACTATTTTTAGCTGGAAAAAGACAAGGGTTTATCAGTAAAATTAGCAAAAACCATAAGAACTATTGCTCATTTAGTTTTGGTAATTACTGGGTCTCAATTGCCTTTGTGTGTCATTTCTTCATTTTTCTTTGTACAATACATTACCCTGTGTGTGTATTTAATGAATGGTTTACTTTGTTCTCTGAATTTGGCTTTTCTGCCACTAAGGAAAGCCTACAGAAATCTTTTTTGAATATTAAAGCAAAGCCCTGAGTTCCCCCCCCTTAAAATGACTAGCTAGAAAACAAAAAATAGTCCCAACTTCCTTTAAGGTTTAGAATGATCACTCTTAAAAATTGTGATTAAAAGCATCACTGAATTTGGGGGTCGGCAGGTGGTGTGGTGGCTAAGGGCACTGGACTCCCACATGGCCAACTGTGGTTCTAGTCCTGGACCTGGCAGCTTGCTTGCTTTCTCTCTCTCTCTCTCTCTGGCTCTCTCACTCTCACTCTGTCCCTCTCTGGTCAAATTGAAATGAATAAATAAAGTTAAATAAAAATAATTCTAAAAAAAATTTTAATATAAAAATAACAAAAGCATCACTGAATTTGAAGGGCCCTGTGTAGACAAGCACTAACATCCACATCTGCAGTCTCATGTAGGCTTTCTGTGACACACTTTCCCAAGGACAGGCTAGATATCAGCCATGGCAATTGGCAGGTGTCGCTTTGCATTTTTCAGTGTGAAGCAGATTTATTCTTCCTTTAGTTTCCAGACTTAGTTTTAGATCTTAATGTGTCAATTATTGCTCAAAAACAAAGACAGGAGGGCGTGACAGCCCTGTAACTGCTAGGAACTGAGACTCAGAGACCCGGAATGCAGCTCTGTACAAAGTGATGCTGGAAGGAGCTCTATGGAGAGGGTGGTTTCCAGTCTTGCACAAATACAGCACATTCATCTTACAGACCCACAACTGTCTGCTAAGACCACTTTCAGAATTTAGGGGTCATCATAAATCTCTTCTGCAATTGTGCTTCAGTACCCTTTTCCTCCCCTCTCAGTACATCTTTGATGTTTGAGCAGTTTCATCTTCCTTAGCATCTGCTGTTTTCTCCAGGTCAACTGTCCCCTGGAGAATGATGTTGGCATTGTGCGCAGACCCAGGGTTCTGGCCAGTGACTCCTGCTCAATGGGACCTTGACAGCAAATGCTTCTACTGGGCCTAGGCCTGGACCTGGGCCTAGACCTGGGACTGGGCCTGACCCTGACCCCGACCCCTTCGCTCTCTGAATTAAGAGGATTTCCTGTGCTTTGTTGTCAGCCTCTGAGCCAGTGCTGGTGCTGAATGGGCCTATATGTCTGTTTGGTTTTTGTTTATTTTCTTTCTTTCCTTTTTGACTGTGGGTTAAGCAAGATGGAAATAACTGTTAAATAGGGACTAAAGTATTATACTGATATAAAATGTATCTTTTCTTTATAGTAATTTAGTATTAGTTTGGATCAGTGGTATAAAGTAATTCACAAGTTATTTTAATTTGGTGACTTCTAGAACACACAGGTAGCTGCTTTGAGAGATAAAGATTTAAACCACAAAATGTAAAACGTTTGGTATTCCTACCATGCATTCACATTTCTATATTTATATTTAATATTACAGTTATATAATTTACTCATTGCTTTTACTTAATGACTTTTTTTTTTAAGTCTTTTTATGTACTCATTCAGTATTGCCCATTTCCACATAGCCTTATACAGACACAGGACTTACAGATCAACTATTTCCATAATCATATGAGTAACATGATTCAAAGAGTTCATAAAGAATGCGTATTATGGAAATAGTACAGATAGATTTCATTTTTTGCTTCAAAGTAAGCCCATATTTCAATTATATTTTTCTATGCACTTTTTGAAGTTCCCTTATATCTTTTGTATCTAGTCATAAAATAATATGAACAAGCATTTTGTTCTTACAAAATAAGAGCATTTTGGGACCAGCAGGTGGCATAATGGCTATGTCATTGGACTTCCGTGTAGTCTACCGTGGTTCGAGTCCCCGGCCCAGTGGCTTAAACCCACCCTGGGCACGTGTATATGCATGCCCAAGATCCCGAGAGGAGAATGGAGGAGAAGGGATTGTGGTGTGGCCATCCCCCCTGGGGGGGTGATTTCTCGCTTTCTGCCTCTGTCTCTCTTTGTCTTTCTGGGCGAGCGCACGTGCCCTATAGCAAAAACCTCTTCAAAATAAATAAATAAATATGTTTTATTGGAGATAAGTGTTTTGCTTAATTTTGTGATGCTAAGTACCATTCACAAAGTGCTCCATAATCCGAGAAAGTGAGACTGTTGACTCAGGAAAAGAAAATAATATCTAAATACTTCACTAGTTTAAAAGTAAAGCCATTTTTTTAGTTAATTAAAAGGTTGAAGGCTGGGGCCAGTAGGTAGGACCTTGGGTTCCCACATAGCTGACCACAGTTTGAGTCCTGGACTGGTCGCTCGCTTTCATGCTTTCCCTTTCTCTCTCTCTCTCTGGTCAAATTAAAAAATAATAATAACAAACGGAATTAAATAAATAAATAATTCTTTAAAAAAGTTGAAGGCTAAAGGAAGCTTTTGGATTTATCATGTAACTTTTAACCTTTCTATTAGTTAGCTTAATTTCTTATTTCTTTGTAGATGACTATGTATTATTGTTAAATTAACTAATTCAATAACTTGCTTCTGGATATAGACAATATTATTTGACTTTATTTCCCTCAACTAAATTGCTTGCTAGTTATAAACAGAACCTTTATTTCTAAAATTAAATGCGGCTTTCAGTAAGTACTCAAATACTACTTAACTACAAAATAGTGTTGTTTTTTTTTTTTTAGAACCAATCAAGAATGAAATATGTCTTGCATTAAAACACTCTTATGCCTAGCTAGTGATCTCTGTGGTCTAGAATTATGATCTTAATCGAACAAGCTTGGGCTGGATAAGGAAAACTCACCATGAGTTGGAAGTCGTTGGATTTCTGTGTCTTCATTCACTTGGGCACGGGTCTCTAACACTTTCCTATGACAGGGGAAGAGGGAAATGAGCCACCCGCAGAGTTCTGGCTAATAGGACTGTGACTTCTTTCCATTTCCTTTACTCTTACTGGTGCCTTGTGTTTCTCCAGGTTCCACCGTGTGGCATCCCGACTGTAAGCAATCTACTAAGACAGAGGAGAAGCTGCGGGTAAGGAAACAATGAGAACCGCGATGCCTGGTGGCCATTAAGTCTTGGGGCTAGGACTTGGATGACTTTACTCTGTACTGACTTTTCCCCCCTATATAAACCAAGATCAAAGGCAGTTTGGTCAGGGGGAAGCTGCCTCCTATCTTAAATGTATTGCTGGATGTTTTGTTCCAAACGATCGTATTGGCTAAAGTAAGCCATGCCTCAATAGTCACCTTCTCAGGAAAGCATTCACGGGAAAGTCAAACCACACAGATGGGAAAAAGTGACTCATCAAGTTCAAAGTTTAACAGCTGGTAACCTTCTTGCCAGCCTTTTGTGTACTTAGTCCTCGAGGCACCCCTCCAGCCCCAGCTCCTGCATCTTTTCTCAGTCGTTAATACTTTGACCTGACCTTTCAAATCTATCAAATCCAAATCCACCAGAGCAGCCTCTAGTTCCAAAAAGCAAATACATTTTAAAAATAAAAAGACTAGTGATTTTTCAGATAAAACCTTTGGAGAAAAATAATAAGACATGTGAGACATGCAAATTAGTCCACTAGTTAATTCTCAGAACACCCCCAAATATTCCAAATGGGAATATTTTACCTGCTTCAGAACTCCATACGCAGTTGTAAGGTCACAGTTGTCATCTGTATGTGTTTCAGATATGGCTATTTTTCAGAACAATCAACAGAGTGAATCCCAGTCCCCAGTCCCTCAGAACAGCTAACTTAGGGGGAACCTGGAGTTGGACTTTATTCCCTAGCTGTCTCAAGGAAAAGAATGGCCTGGATTTATTTTGCAAGCCACATGCCACATTCCAGAGCGTGCTACCACCTCTTCTTGACCTGCCTTTGGAGGCATCAGGAGCTCTGCCATCCCCAGCAGCAGCACCACCACAGTCTGTCCATGGGCTCTGATCACTAATGTCACCTCCAGAGGGGAACCTTTGTTCTGAGAAGTGATCATCAGTGAGCCCCATCTGCTCTGACTTTTCAGATCCCTCTGCCTTCTGCCTTGGGGACTGCAGCTCTTATTTTCTAGTCTTTTCTTTACTCTTTGCAACAAAACACATGTACTCACAGCTTTTGTCCCTTTGCTTTCTTTTTTTCTTTTTCTTTTTCTTTTTTTTTTTTTTTTGGAGAGGTTTTTTGCTATAGGGCACGTGCGCTCACCAGACAGACAGAGACAGAGAGATAGAAAGTGAGAAATCACCACCCGGGGGGGTGGGGGGTGGCCACGCCACAATCCCTTCTCCTCCATTCTCCTCTCAGGATCTTGGGCACCACGCACACGTGCCCGGAATGAGTTTAAGCCACCAGGTCCGGGACTTGAACCATGGTCAGCTACGTGGGAGTCCAGCGACATAGCCATTACGCTAACTGCTGGTCCCGTCCCTTTGCTTTTTTCCTTTTCCTCTTTATCGGCATCCATAAACCAGATAGAGACATTTTACCATTTGGGTATGTTAGAAACTTGGCCCCTTGCCTACGACCCTGAACAAAAGCAGTTCTCTTAGAATTTTACATTTACTAGGAGCACACTTTAAGTGAAGAAAAAAAAATCAAAAACAAAAAATGCTTTTTCTCAGAATAATTGAGTAAAAAGACAAGAACAGCTAGAAAGAATCCATCCACCAATATTAGGATGGTTTTGTTCTCTGTCTCTGATGTACAGCTTCATACAACTTCTGACGTACAACTTTCTGACATACAGCAATGGCTTTTATTCCAGAAATCGGTTTCCATGCACACGAACATATTCATGAAGCTTGTTAACCAGACTGGCATATGTTGGAACAGTCACCCAGCTCTGAGCACTACACTCTGGGATTTCTGAGAAACCATGGCGTGTTTTGGAAGTGGGTTATCTTTAAAATTGTTAAGAACATTAACGATAGTACATGTTGTCACTTTTATCATTAGAATATAAAATTCACAACAACATGGCTTGGAGATGTGGCCCAGAAGCCACCCAAGTAGCTAGCCATTTGCACAGTGGTGCTTCAGATTTTTGCATAATCGTTTCTACTTCATCACTGATGAAGACTTTTGGGGGACATGAAGAAAGAAATGCTAATGAGGCCAGACTGAATGGAACGTGTGTCTTTTCTCTGTAAAGATTGCTTGAGATTGCAGATTGTGTTATGAAAATGATTTTTTTTTTTAAATCAACACACGATCACATCTTGATGGAACTGTCTGGATAAGCTTAGGAAAACAACTAGAGAAATATTTCCACTCATCCTGGCCAAGAGGAGCTATTGTTTTCTTCTTTTAGTAAGCTTCCCAGAGAATTCCAAAGCTGCTCTCTCAAACCCAACATTTACTACTTGGGAGCTCGGGTCAGTGCCTTGGCTCCCTGTCTTTGGAAAGCCCAGTAGTGAGGTGGAAGATGCACCCCACACTCTGATGTGCCCAGAGTAGGGGTTCAGGCAGATGTCAATGGAGCTTAAAGGGAAATAGGTTCTGAATACTGAAATCCACCTTGTGCATTCTTAAGGGTGTGTCTGCAGATGACAAGTCATGAGCCAGGATTTCAGGCCTTCACCATTAGTGCAGTTTCCATGGCAAAATAAAAATGTTTTAAGAATCTTTTAGCAACCCCACTGAGTAATCCACATTCTTGGTACTTAAAAACTCATGAGGTGTTTGTAACAACAGATTCTTAAGCATTTCTCTCAGTTGGCTTTATTGACTTCTTACCCTTCATATGTTATAAGAATGTCTAAGCCAAAATAAATGGAAAGGAACCCAGGGAGACTGGAACTTAGATAAATACATTGTAACTTGAAGACTAGTTAATATGCTTTTAAACATGGGCCCGAAAATTGGTACAAGAGGTACATACATCAACTAAAGCAATGCTACTTGAAGTTTGTTATCAAATTAGTTTCCCCCATAGATGCTTTTTTTTTAAAAAATAGTGTTTCTGAATTGAGGGTATTTCTTTGTTCATTCTTCCCTTTTCTTCATGTTTCATGGCAGCCACCAAACATTCATCGTTCCTCATCTGATTTCTTTTATCCCAAAAGTCTGATTCGACGCACAGGACGGTCCCCGTCTCTGCAGGTTGGCGCTGCGTCTGGGCCGAGGCTACAAGCTGAGCCAGGCCGCTGTCCTGGGCCCGGGCTTTTGCCGCTCCCCCACCTCCCCTCATCCCCACCCCACAGCTGCTTTTCTTGAGTAATTTCTTCAGCTCCTGCTGATGGCAGATGCTTTTCTCACCCCACGAGCGCCTCTCACACTGATTCTGGCTGTTTTCCTCTGGTCGATGTTTTCATTCAAAGCTGTGGCTAAGCCTTGTCTTTGTGGAAACGCGCACATCAGAAGCCGCCTTTTGGTCCTGTGTTCCCATATTCGTTCATTGAACAAATATTTGCCAAGTGCTCAGGTGTCCTGCTGGGCTGGACACAGTCGCTCTAGCCTCCTAAAGACAGATAAGTCATTATAAAATGGGGCAGGACCATCACAGGATTATGGATCTCATCGGTCACCTTCTTTGGAATGTCAGACGAGGGAAAGGTCTCGGGAACACTTCCCCGGTGGGGCGGTCTAAAGTGTAGCTTCAGAGGCTAGATAAGATTTGAACATGTGGAGATAAGGGACAAGGGGAGGGCCTGGTAAAGAAAACAGCAGAAGCTTGGAACTGAATGGAAGACTGCTCGGCAGGGCAAGGAGTAGGGAAGTGGGAAGGGAAACGGACGAGCGCAGGCCCCTTTTCTCCTTTGCTTTCCTAAGAACTCCTGTGAGGTAGCTGGTCTTATGCCCACTTCACAGAGAGGGAGACTGAGACCGTGACCCATCATAGCCAGGAACTTCCCTACAGTTACACCAATAAATGGAAGAGCCAGGATTGGATTCCGTGAGCCCGTAACTCAGGCTTCCCATTCTCTCTCACTGCAACGGGACAGCGAGAGAAAAACCTAGGAAGACAGACAGAGAGCACCAAGTACTGGCCAAGGCTGTGCTCAGGGGCCGCTGGTGGAGGATAAGGAGGGAACAGTGTGAGATGCCCAGGGCATTGCCCAGGAGCAGAGAGAGGACCCAGCCAGCTCGCCAGAGGAGCAGCAAGGCAGGAGCCCATGTTCCATGCACAGACTTGACCTTTGGGGGTCTCTGAGAACCAATGAAAACCTTGGCCTGGTAAACTGCTGGGTTGTCTAAAAAGTCATGCAAAAATATGTCATGACTTTTATGCAACCCAATAGAAAAAGATTCTCTGCAGTTCCTTCTTGGTCCCAATAAAACCCATTTTGACGGGACTGCAGCACAGGCCTGTGGGCAGGGCTTCGTGCCTACACTTATTTCCGTGCTTGCCAGAACTGCACCGAGGATGAGAAGAGGGAGGTTTCTATCTATTTTTAGTAAAATGTCACCTTCTTTCTTTAAATAACTTGGAGAAAGTATAGAATTCAGAGTTACGCTTCTTCACATAGAGAATGGAATCAGGTAGAGCAGCACGCCTGAGCCCGAGGTACACAGGTCATTAATGGCACGACGTGCAAACTTGGGTTCCCCGCCTGGGCCTGGGCCGGCTGCCGGTGCTGGCCCCGGATGCTGGGTTACACTCTGACTCCTATCTTCCCTCTTACTTTAAAGCCTCTGCTCCAGTTGGCAGAGTCTTCCCCACAGCGGGTTTGAAGTTTTACAAATCCAGCGGAACAGCCAAAGATGGTCCCCACTACAAATAAGAATCGCTCGGCATCTGGGCCTCTACTTGGCAAAAAGTTGCTTTTTCGATCAGTTTCTCCCCCCTGCAATAGAAGCACAGTCTTCATGCAAATGGGCTTATATTTTGGTAGCCTATGTCTACAGCCATGTAACACATTTTTGTGATTTGAAGAAAAATTCCCCCATCAAATGTAAAATGTGTTGGTTTGCTCCAGACCCTTAAATGTAAGAGATTTTAAGAGATTTTGGAGTATCTTGAGAAGGGGAGAGAGAGAAAGGAAAAAAAAAAATCTGCTTTTAATAACTTCTCTCTTCCTTGTTGTTCAAAAGGAACATCTGATTCTCATTATCCAGCTGTAAATATCACTGAAGTCAACGTTAGCTCCATCACAGAAAGTTGTAAACAGCTTGGGACCTGGCAGAGAAATCAGGCCGTTTATCAAGGTCCCCTCTCACCCATTGGCAATTGAGGAAGGACTCCCTAGACCCTTCAGGAAGCCTGGCAAGTCCAAAGAGGTGCAGTTCTCAAGTCACAGATAATTTTGTCTTTTAAGTGCTTTGACCGTTACCGCAGCTCATTTTTGCCACATAAAATGAAACACCCTTAGCTTTAGATAAACTGACTCTACTGGTAGGGGCATCCAGTACTCTGTGCCCCAAAAAGAAGTCCTGGTTTTGTTACGGAAAAAAGGCAAATTTATGGTAGAAAAGTCATTTTAGTGTTTACATTCAAAAATTCCCCCTCCTTTTCCTTTCACCTAAATTATGAGGAAATAATAAAAATAGAATTACTTAAGAAAAACCTATACCAGCTTCACTTGCGTGAATTTTATATGAATAGCAAATTTTGTCTGTTTGTAAAACTCAGAACTAAGCATGTATAATTCCTTCGAGACAAAGCACGTGGTATTCCCAGGACCGAGTGTGTAATAATCTTGAGTGGTCACTTGCTTTTCTGCTGTATCTTTGGAGGCTCAAGCATGAATTGACTGACCTACAAAGTGGGCATGCGATCCTTTTTGGTTTGACACTAACATGCGCCTATTATAATGTGTGCACTTGTAAATCTATACTGTGTAAGCAAATACAGCGTGTCTGTTATTTAAAAGAAGCCAATTAGAGGCTTTATGTAAATTTAGAATGAGGAAGTAATACTGTTACGTTATTGATGTCACTACATTACATAGTACTCCATTTCCGGTTTTTACTTTAGGTACTTTATCTTTTTTGCTGTGTCTTTACAATTCCTCAAGCAGGTAAACATACAGTGCTGGACATTCCCACATGGCCAACCATGGTTCAAATCCCAGACCTAGTAGCGTGTGCACGCTCTCTCTCTCTTTCTTTCTCTTTGTGTGTGTGTGTGTGTGTGTGTGTGTGTGTGTGTGTGTGTATGTGTGTCTGGTCAAATTAAAATAGATGAGTGAATAAATTAAATAAAATAAATCTTTAAAAAATATTTAGACTGGAAAGATGTCTTATAATGACTGATGGCATTTTTGAAACTGTCTCCAGAGACCTGGTGTGTGCTCAGAGCACCCTCCTGCCTCCTCTCCAAACACAAGTTCTTTTTCTGAAGGAGTTCATTTCACCCTTTTTTTACTTAGCAGTGGACGTTGAGTGTGTGCAGATTTTTAAAAGTATTCCTTCTTCTGCAGCTATTATCACCACCTTGTCTAGTGAACCTAAACAGGACCCAGTAGAAGGTGTCAGTCACCTTATCTCAGTAGTTGTCCCTAGGTTGTTCCTAAGACCATGCTGACCCGGTTGCCACTTGCCTGGAGTGTCTCCTTAGAGCATGGCTTTGGATGAATCCAAATTAGATGAAGTAGTTGTTGCATCCCAGCTCCTGCTAATGGGGGGAGGGGGGCGGGCAGCGCACTCTCCTGAGCTCCCAGCATGTACGGTGGCCCATAGTTTAAAAGTAAATGGAAAGCATCGTTTCTCCACTTACTCAACAGGCAGAGCTCTGGTAAGTGTTTTTAATGGTCACTATTTGAACAATAATGAGAGTTGAAGTGAAAACATAAACAAGATCTCTTTCATTGATTTTCATTCTGTGGCTGTGTCTTCTGAATGGTAGGATAGACAGACAAAGTCAAAGCATCCAGTGAAGCCAGCCAGGAGGGAGGCACTTAGAAGGCCACTAACAAACATTTCATGAAGAAAACGCAAAGACAGACTTTGTCACACATCTAGCTACTGATTAGTGATTAATGCCATTTTCTTCTTTCTCCTATTAAATTGAACTGCCTATCTTCCAGTGAGGCCTTTCTTTGTTAATTTTTTGTTGTTGTTGAAGAAGATTTACAAAATCTTGTTGAAATCAAAAGTGAGTGTGTGAAGGCATGCTGGGGGGATAAATGCAGTAAATGCAGGGCACAGTGACCCCTCGTCCCGAGAGACTGAGGGAGGACAGCCACACACATACAACACAAAGTTCTTACCAAAGCCTCCCTTCTTTTCTTGGTCAAAATAAGATTATTTGCCCAATCTTAATGATAAAATACTTGAATAATCATAGCCATATATAATTCTTTCTATATCTTGCCATCTCCATCCCTCCTGACCTCACTCCCCCTTCTTTTATTATTAATGGCACCAGAAGAAAGAACTATACTTGTTTTTTTTTTTTTCTTTTTTAGGATTTTTTGCTATTGGGCATGTGCACTCGCCAGAGAGAGAGAGAGAGAGGGAAAGTGAAAAATTACACTTCAGAGGGAGGGCAAAGCTGTAGTCCCTTCTCCATTCTCCTCCTGGGATTTTTGGGCACACATAGACACATGCTGGGCTTGATTTTTAAGCCTTTAAGTCTGAGACTTTAACTGTGGTTGGCCATGTGAAAGTCCAGTGCCTTATCTGCTATGCCTCTTGCTGGCCCCAGGAACTATGTTTTTCTAATTGTGTTTTCAAATTGTGTTTTCTCTGCAAGGAAATGATGTTTCAAGAAAAGTAAGTAAATTGTATCTGCCTTTTAACAACTTAGTCATTTAGCAGCTTAATAATGGGTCATTGCTATGTCCCTTTCTCTGTAGAACTGGACATAATGGGGCCAGCGGGTGGTATGGTGGTTAGGGCACTAAACTCCCATGTAGTCGACCATAGTTCAAGTCCCAAACCTGGTAGCTTGCTTTCTCTCTCTCTTTCTCTGTCTCTCTCTGATTGAATTTTTAAAAATAATAATAAATTAAATTAAATAATTCTTTTAAAAAACTGAGCATAATTTTTGGGATAAATATCTGAAATCATCGTTATTTTTAATAGAGGCAAGAGAATAATTTTGTTCATCATAATCTTATGGAGAATTTCAGAAACAAAAATGCTGACCTGTTGGGTTAGCGAATTCAAGTAATAATTACCATGTTGCTATGGATACCCTAATAGGTTGAAATAGTAATTCAGGTTAAATAATTTTATATAAGGATCATCTTTGGAAATGGGATCTTCTGTAAAGTTTTATTACAGCCCAATGAGGTGACATTGGACTTGGATTAATGGTCACTAGGATTTGA